AAAAAAAAAAAAACAAACAAGTGAGGCATCATCTCAAGGCAAAGAATCAAGGCCCAACAACACTTCGCCAGGCATACATTCATCTGCCAGCTCTGACTTGTCTAGGGTTCTGGCCTCGCTCTTTCACACCCAAGACTGAGTTGGCAACGCCCAGTAAAACATTTGTCTAAACGCCCTAACCCCTGTTCGCTGCGTGTCACCACAAAGCCCACAGCTACACAGGTGAAGCAAAAGTGGATATTTGTGTGTTTGTTGTTCACTTTTTCCCTCTTGCTCCTCTTCATTACGCAAGTGTTGTAGCTAATCAATCGCTATAAGGCAGCAAAGAAGAAAAAAAAAAGATGTTACCAGACAGGACTGACACGTCAAGATGTGGAAATGCGTGTCCATGATACAGACGCTTCAGGGAGGCAAAGAAAGCCCCGTTTCCCCTTGGCTTAAATGGGGACTTTCTCACTCTGCTACAGCCTACGATGAAGCCGGAGAATTAAGGATTTAATCTCAATCACTCTCACTCTCTCTCTTTCCTTCGTTAAAGTCCCACTGTCCCGCATACCCTGATTTCGGACATTATAACGGACTCCTCAAAATATTGGTTTCTTTTCCCGATTATTGTGCTGGGAATATTCTTGTCTTCAAGATGCACTCGGAGTCAGAGTCAGGCTATGAGTCCCAAGTCTCGATGGACGAGCCGTTCACGCCCATGTTTAAAAAGGAACCTCATCATGATGGACAACTGCCGGATATCACGTACGTATATTCTTTGCAGATTCCCCCACTCATGATCCACTTTTCATTTCACTTACCTTTTCTTGCTTTCTTCGAGATATACAGACCAGACGATCGTGTTATTGCAGTCATGGGGATAACAGGTGTTGGGAAAAGCACCTTCATCTCACATTTTAACGAAGATGCTCTTGTAGGCGATAGCTTGATGTCCTGTGAGTCTTATTCACTTTTTCATTCCTCCAGTTCTCCATCTTTACTTTATTTATTTCTTATTATTTTGGGAAAAAGAGCTCCACTTACCTAAATTGCAAATCTACAGGCACAACCGAAGTAGGCATCCACAAAGCCCAAATCGACAACCAACGGATCTTCTTAATCGACACACCCGGTTTCGACGACACGACACGGTCCGACACCGACGTGCTCGTGGAAATCGCCGACTGGCTCCGCTTCTCCTACAACGAAAACATTAAACTGGCCGGAATCATCTACCTGCACCGAATCAAAGATGTGCGGATGGGCGGCGCATCCATCCGCAACCTGATGATGTTCAAGAAACTCTGCGGCGAGAAATGTCTCAACGGGGTGGTTCTCGCCACGACGATGTGGAACAACCCTCCCACCGAGAAGGAAGTGAAGCGGGAGAGCCAGTTGAAATCGGAGCGGAAGTTCTGGGGTGAGATGATCGGGCATGGGAGTCAGGTGTTCCGCCAGGATGATGGAATTACGTCTGCGACGGAGATTATTCGGTATATTTTGAGCCGGCCGCAGAATGTGACGCTGAGGATTCAGGAGGAGATGGCCAGTGGGAAGTCGTTGGGAGAGACTGCTGCTGGGAAGGAGGTCCAGGCGGAGGTTGAGAGGCTGAGAGCCAGATATGAGAGGCAGTTGAACGAGCTGCGGAAGGAGATGAAGGAGGCGGAACGGAGACAGGATCTCAATCATAAGAAGGAGATTGAGGCCGTGCGGGCTGAGCTCGAAGAGGAGTTGAAGAGCAGTAAGCAGCAGCAAAGCATCTTACGCATGGACATCGACGAACTACAGAGGGAGCGAGACGCAATGCATCAACAGGATATGGCGCACAGAGAAGCCATTGACGAGCTACGGAGACAACGCGACGCCGAGCGGGAGGAAATGTACGAAAAGGAGATGGCCCACAAAGAAGCCCTGCACCAGCGAGACGCCGATCTCCGGGTCCTCAGAGCCAGAGACGAATATGAATCACGATTATTGGAGTTGGAAACGCAAATGGCGCGAGAAAAAAACCGTCGGGGTGGATGTGTGATGATGTAGTCGGGGATGGTTTCCTGGTATGTGTTCGAACTTCGGTGGCTTATGATTTATTATTATTATTATTATTACTATTACTTTTCACTGGGGGTTCTTGGGCGGATTTCTACATATGTTTCCCTGTTTGTTTACATACCATATATAGTATATATATCCAAAGATAAGACTTTCAAAATGAAAAAATTCAAATAATCATAATATATGAACAGGTGGGATACAACACATTATAACTGCCCCTCATCGGGCGTTGTCAAACTCGGTACTTACTTCATGCCCTAAAACAAATCCTGGGCCCATCAGGCTGAAATCGACTGACTCCCAACATCCTATCCATACCATGTACCATGAGAACTACCCTTCTTTTTTAATTTTATTTTTAGTATCCTAGTTGCCTAGAAAACGACAACAACAGCTAACAAATCCCTCCCAAGTCGACCATACTGGACCACCAGATAAGACGCAGTAAGTAGGAGTATGCTTTTGCTTCACTTCTCCTCTGCAACTCCATCGACAGTACGCTATCAGTTTATTTGATTGGTACAAGTAGCCGCCACGTCAGGTTTCTCCATTTATCTCCTCCTGTTTTCTCCATGGTGACTAAGGATCCGAAGGGGGGCGAGAACTGGATGGAGCCCGAAGCCTCACTGTTTTTTTATGTCGATCTTTAGCGATGACATCACTGTGCATGTATCATTCGCTGTACGAAGTACAGTATGTGTGTATGTATGGACATTGTATGGAGTAGGGACAAGTGAGAGAATGTTGTGTATGCATTATATGTTGTTGGATATTATTATTTTTTTTAATAGATTAAATTTCCATTGGGGTGATTAGGGTTCTGTGGTTTATGCTCGGATGTGAAGATACTACTCACTGCCCTTGGAGGCTGCACAGTCGAGGTTGGTTAAGGTACCAGCTTATATTCTTTGTAGAAACTAATCGTACAATTTATCAAATCTAATGATTTAACACTTATTGCATCGCGTGACTGCCGAACACATAATGACTAAAATGTGGATTTGGTTTGCACGGCGACGCTTTAGAGGAGAGACGAGACAAGGAAGAGACTACTACATGGACTAGACTGAGATTCCCTAACTACCTTAAGATCTCTAGATACTAGTAAACCGAGTAAACCGAGTAAAACCCCTCACCTTACGCAGACCATCCCTTTTCCAGCTTGCTCCGACTAGCTGCCAGCTGCGCGAGAGAAGTAACCGTGGCGCGGCCCATGATATCGAACACAGCAACATCGGCCTGCATCTCCTTCGAGAACCAGCTTCGGAGTTCTACTGCAACGAGCGAATCGACACCATATTCATGTAGAGCTTTGTGTTCATCAATATCGCTTTCGGAAAGCGAGAGGACCCTACAAAGCTTCAGTATAAGAGCCTCTACAGTCAATGTGGTTGCCTCCGCCAACGATGTAGCACTCTGTAACGCAGCAGCAATATTCACTCCACGCGCCTGGCCATGCGGATCACCTTGTGATGTATGCTCAAGCTGTAAGTGCCCGAAAAGTGGTTTCTCGAGCCAATACGCCCTTCCGGCACCCCGCTCCATCACCACTGGGTGTATACCAATGGTTGTCTGGCAGTTCAGCCCGAGATCCCGGGCTACGATAGGGTTACAATAGGAGTCGAGCAACGCGTGGAACTGCGCCTCCGTGACCGGGTCTAAGACCGAGTTGTTTCGCATCATCTCCCTCAGTTTGGGATCCTTGGCGACCGCGCCAGCAAAGGTGAAGAGGCCTAGGTCAAGAGACGTAGCGCGCTCGCCGATACGGACCCGGTAGTGGGCAAGTGCGTCTTGGAAGGTGTTACCGGCACCATAGTTGGCTTGTCCTCTGGAGCCGATTAGGCCGTTGATTGATGACAGCAAGATGAAGAAGTCCATTCCCTTGGGGAGGAGCTCGTGGAGATTCCATGACCCTTGTACCTTGGGTTGGACTGCGGTTTGCCAGGCGGTGTATGACATGTCCGAGAATGAGACGTCCTATGGTAGGGTTAGTATATGAAAGACCTCTCTTGGAGCGCAGGCTACACTTACATGCAGCACCATCGCACCCTGAATACAGCCTTTGATCGGGGGCATGTGTAATTGGCAAGCATCGAGCGCCTTGCGGAGCGACTGTGCATCGCTCACATTGCATGCCGGAGCCAGGGCTTCCACGCCTTGGCTATGTAATTGATCAAGTAGCTTACGTCCGTCGGGGCTGTCTCCACCAGATCGTGACAGTAGGAGAAGATTCCGTGCCCCACGAGACACAAGCCAGTTAACAGCATTCTGACCAAGGCCACCTAATCCGCCGGAAACAACGTACGTGGCGTTGGGGTCGCAGAAGGAGTTGGGTTTGGGCTTTAATATGGTCTGTTTTACAGGTTAGCAGGAATAAGATTGGTGGAACGATGGAGCTAAGTGGATAACTTTCACTTACCATGACTGGGTCATCTCGACGCATCTCAAGAACCAATTTACCGTGATGCTTTCCACCTTGCATGAGTCGAAAAGCTTTCTCCATCTCACCAACACCGTATGTGGCAATTGGACTTGGGGGTTGAAACTTCCCCTCCACAAGCAAGGTCAAGATGTCTGCTAGTGCAGAGATACAATCAGCGGGGCGGTCCCTTGCCCAAGATCCTAGATCTAGACTGATGAATGTTGTATTTTTTGCAAACTGAATCATCGGAAGCTTGCTGTTCGAGAGGATATCCTTTTTGCCAATTTCAATGAATCTACCATACGGGGCAATGCACTCCCATGACTTGATGAGGCTTTCACCCGACAGTGAGTTAAAGATGATATCAACACCTTTTCCCGCGGTTTGTTGGAGAATCATCTTTGCGAAAAGCGTGGATCTGCTCGAGTAGATATGGGATTCCGGAATCCCGTATGTTTGCATTAGAAATTCCTTCTTGCTGTCAGATCCTACGGTAGTATAGACCTGGGCTCCGAAGTGCTTCGCGATCTGTATCGCTGCTTGGCCCGTACCGCCAGCTCCAGAATGAACCAGGACTGATTCGCCGGGCTGGATTCGCGCGAGTTCCTTCAGTCCCATATACGCTGTAATGAAGTTGGCTGGGACAGAAGCCGCAGCAGTCAGGGAGATCCCCTGGGGGACATGAACGACTGGATCCGTCTCGCGAAATCGGAGATGTGTTGAGTAGCAGTTGGATAGAAAACCGACAACTTTATCTCCTGCTTTAAACTTACGACACGCTGTCCCAACACGCGTAATCGTGCCGCTACATTCGAGGCCTATGCTCCCGATGTTAAGTTGACCTAAGGCAGTAAGAACATCGCGGAAGTTGACGCCCACGTAGCTGACCTCAAGCTCCACTTCGTTGGCGGCAAGAGGCCGATCGGCCCATTCGGCTTCAATGAACCGAAAACCGTTCGTCATGCTGGAGGATGAAGAATCAAGACGCAATTGAGTTCCACAGCCAAATGGTCTCATTATGGCTTGTTGTGGGTTTGTCTGAATAGAGATAGCGTTGTTCAGAGGTTGATGGTTAACCATGCGCCCAACTTGCAGTACCCCTCGATGCTCAGTATATTCGGAATCAACAACGGAGGAGACTGGGGAAAGTATGTGCGATATGAGATCTAGCACTAATCGGTGGTGAGGGTGTCCTTCCGTCTGTTGTCGTTCAAGCGAAAGAATGTAGCGATCTCGGCCTCCATCCTCTTCAGACAATACTCTGAATAGACCTTCAATGAGGTGTAGATGCGGTCGTTCAAAGCCTTTTCCTCCTCCTTCAGTGACCCAGAGTGTGGTTTTGGTTGAGAGGAGAAGAGCTTGGAGTCTTGTATACACTTCTTCCCGCATATCACACAGTACTGGCTTGCTATATTCAAGCAAGAAGACTCTTAATAGGTCATGAGAGGACCCCGTTTCCTCCAATGAGACACACTCTACTGTTGAGCCTGTTAATTCTCGACATCCCACTTCAAGTAGCCGTGCAAGTTCAGCCTGGGGGCTGTCAGCTGGGTCATAGACAAATTGAATATGATGACCTCTGGAAGAGTCTTGAGCGTCTTGACTAGCAGTGGCAACAATAAAGGCATTTTCTTGGCAAATAGCATTCTCGACATCAGGAAAGACAAGATCGCATCCTGAGAATCCGGTCTGTGATAGAAGCTCATGCCACTGTTGTTCACCTACACAAGGGCCCAGTGAACGATAGGATTCGCACCCTTTTCATATCAGCATCTCCAACATTCCTGGCTATCATGACATGTATGATACTTACCCAACCACCAGCCCTCGAGAAACCCAAATACATATGCAGAACGCTTGGGGTTGGTCATTTCGTTCATAATCAGCTTTCCGCCGCTTTTAAGATATCAGTAAAATATCTGCTTTCAAATGGGGAGCTGCTTCATTTTCACTCACGGTTTTAGAAGCTTTCGGACATGGGTCAAAGTCTTGGTTAAGTCCGAAGTGGCATGGATCACCTATATGATATATATTAGAGGACGTAATATGATAGGGCAGCTTTAGAACGCTATTATGGTCCATACCAATGAAGCGACAACCATGTCATACGTGCCGCACTCGAAACCTTGTTCCTCGGGATCATGTTCAATATCAAGAGTGTTGAAACTCATTCGATCTCCCTCCGCAGCAAATTGACTCGCTGCTTCGCCGAAGAACGACCGCGAGATGTCGGTGTATTCCCAGTGAGCATATCTAGAGGTTTCTGATTCATCCTGTCCTCGGCCCAACGTGCGTAAGAAAATACGCGTAGCAGACCCCGTCCCAGCTCCAATCTCTAGTATCCTCATCTGCGGATTCGCGTGCGCTAATAGCTCGAGATACGCCGTGATTCGCCTAGAACTACTTGAACGGTCGAGCTGGGACCTCGTGTTATTTTTGAATCCGGTCGGTGCAGAGGATCGGACTTACTGTATCATAGTAATAATCATCAATGAGACCACAGGTAAAGATAAACTCTAGAGGGTCCAGCTCCTCACATAGAAACTTTGTCAGGTTTCTGGAGAAGCTCACCTGAAACTTCCCCTGCGGGTTACTCTCATAGAGCCGTGAATCTAAGGCCTGGATATACTCGATATCGTGAAAACGACTTTTCCATGGTTCTAAGGAGAACAAGAGCCGGCCATCGCTAAGTTTTTTCTTCTGGGCAGCTGCCCATTCGAGATATTTCTTGACGTGCAACTTGCTAGGTGACAGACTCCTCTCGGCGAGAACATCGAGAGCTTCAAGAAGCCGAGCAAGCAATAGAAAGTCCACTTCGATGAAAAATTCTTCGAGTGCGGAAGTGTCCACAGACGGTTGTCGACATATCTGATCAATGTCATCGTTTCTCAACAACCGGATATCCGGCTTCCACTCGACCCGATGGCAGAGCTTGTCATCTATAGAGTTATGTGTTTCTGCTATAGCAAGCTCATTAACCGCAGTACACCTAAGCCCGTCCACGTAAACTATCGCCTTCCCTAGTTGATCATCAAAAGCGGTAATATTCGCACAGATGTCTGAGTTGCCGGATGGCTCTACCCTTGTATGCACCTTGAAGATATCTTTTGTAGTGTTGAGACCATCGACGGAGAGTGTTATGCTCTCAATGTGTGTTGGCACGGCGGTCGGTATGATCTCAGCACCGCATCCCGTCGTCGGCCAAAGTGCCGTTTGGATCAGTGAATCTAACGCTGTAGGGTGGATTGTTTCATCTGAGGTTGATGACCTGTTGCTCACCTCACCAGTAACGCATGTGCAGTCACTTGGGTTGACACTCAAAGCAGTTATTCCTTGGAAGGAATCACCATACTCATAACCACAGGCTTTCAGGTGAGAATAGAGTGCTTGTACTTCAGCGGGGGAGGTACATTCTTTGCTCGCTTGTAGATACGCGTTAATCTGTTGGCGGACTAGATCCCGCTCAAGGTGACCACAGTCTACGGGGTCTGGCTTTTCCGGATAATATGCAACCTGGATAGTGCCCGTACAGTTTGACACCCACGATGAATCTGTGTTCATGTAGAGCGCAAATTCGTACCAATGTGATGCTGCCGATGTAAGCTCTTTAACCGGACGCATATGGAAGGCTGTTTCCACAGTCTCGTTGTGTTCCTGGATTGGGATTGCGGCATGGAGAGTCACATCTTTGATATTGAAACTTGAGATCTGTTGACCAGCGATGGCCAACTGCTTCGCTGCCTCAACAGCCATGACGACCATTCCAGCTGCCGGGTAGAGTATCGTACCATTGATCTACCAGAGCAAGAGCTATTGTCAGCGCAGATTATTGTAGTATCGAACACAGGAGGGAGCTCACTTGATGGTCTCGAACCCAGGGCATCTCGGACAATTTGATAATGTTTCTCCATCGCGGCTCAAGAGGGTTCCAGTTTGGATCCGGCGAACCCAGAAGGTCATTTTTGCCAATCTTAGGTATTCTGTGGTTTCTGCTTATCTGGCTCTCATGCCAGTAAGACTTGCTATGGTTAAAAGGATACTCTGGGAGATCTGGTATTGATTTAAGGAGACCCTTTTCTTCGAGGTTTTCCAGATTGTTCACAGCGCCAAGGTCGATCGAGTAACCAGCTGCATGCAAATAGCCAGCCGCAGTCATAACAGTGTCAGTAGCTGGCACACCTCTCACGAGAAGTGAGTAGTACGCTACTGACTGTCGATTTGAATTGTTCAAGTTCTCTTTGATAGGCGCTTGTAGTGCGGAATGGGGACCCAGCTCAACCAAGTGATGGATTGGAAACGCCCGCCGATGACTCCGATCAAGCTTCCGTCTAGGTGTCTCTGTATGTGAGCAAAGAGTGAACACAGCATCGGAGAACTTTACCGGGGAGACCATATTTTGTACCCAGTAATTAGGTGCCCTCAGGTCTTCTGGTTTGGCCCAGGTACCCGTAACAGAGGACACCATTTCTATGGGGATCTTGTGCTCGTTACCCTTCTCTATCTCTCCCATCGCACTCTGATATTGTGCAGCAATTTCATGCATCTGGAATGAATGATAGGCAACCTTGACCTTCAACTTTCGACAGAAGATGTTCTCTGCACTAAGTGCTGACTTGAGCATATCGATTTGGATCTCCTCGCCGGAGATTGTAACGCTTTTAGGACTGTTGATACAGGCCACTGTTAATCTCAAGATCTCGCACTCACCAGCGACTTTCTCAAAGTATGGCTCAACATCCTTCGTTGGTAATGCCACCGCTAGCATTGCCCCTTTGACATAGCTGGACGTTTCCAACTGGCTGCTCCATTTTCCACGGTAAAAGGCGATCTTCCAAGCGGAATACCTATCTATCGCAGAAGCACAGTATCTGCATAAAGTTAGATAATGAAGGTAAAAGATCAAAGAGGCAATATAAGAACATACGCAGCTGCAATCTCCCCAGCCGAGTGGCCAACCACAGCCTTGGGGGTAATCTTGAAGTGAGAGAGAAGGTCCACCAAGCCAACTTGAAGCGCGGTGCAGAGCGGCTGGCTGTATTCTGTCTTGTTTACGTTCGAAAATTCCTCCGGTTTTTGAAGTTCCTCTAGAAATTTTGAATCAGCTCAAGATCCCGGCTCTCATTATCGGGAATGCTGTGTTGTGCAGTACATACCTAGAAGATCCCATTGACAACCCAAAGTCTGTAGATACCTATTGGCAGCCTGAACACTATCGCGGAAGACGGAGTATCCGTTTATCAGCTCGCGACCCATAGCGTACCATTGTGCTCCTTGCTGTCCATGGATATTAGTTATTGTGCATGAAAGTACTTGTAAGCTAGCTCACCCCAGTGAATACAAACGCCAGGTTGGGTGATGAAATAGACCGACACGGGCGAGCAAGCTTGTCCGCTATAGCTGACCAGTCATCCGAACATTTCACAGTCGCAAAGGTCCTCCACTGATGATGGCTTCTCCTAATAGCTAACGTGTATGCCAAGTTACTCAAGTACGCTCTCTTTTCCTCGTCTGTAACATGAAGCGATGAGAAGAAAGATCTCCATTTGTCCTGGATGCGGGAAATTCCATTCTCATCGGCAGCTGACCAGACAAGCAATTTTGCTTCATCGGGTGTGGTTTCCAGAGTTCCATTTGTGTCATGACTCTCTACGCACATGGTGTTCAAATGAGCGGTGGTATTATGGTTGCCCTGTAAGCCATTGCTCTGGAGGTAGTTCAAGGCATCGTCTAGCACAATATGGATATTCGAACCACCAAAGCCAAACGAGCTGACCGACGCCCTTCGCAAGCCATCGACTGGCCAGGCCACCGGTGCTTGAGGGACCTGCAGTTGTTAGCCTAGGGAGGCCTGACATGAAAGGCGCCGGAAATAGACCTTTATATGTAGGAATTCATCATCGATTCGGCGGTTCAGCTTTTCAAGCCCTGCATTGGGTGGGATAATTCCTTTTTCCAAGGCAAGAACAACCTTTATCACTCCAGCCACGCCGCTTGCGCCCTCTAGATGACCAACACTCGACTTTACAGATCCTCTGTGATGTGGCTTAGCATCGGGGTTCGAAATTAATATCTAAGTGTCGTATGTACTTACATATAAAGCGGGTCATCAGCTGAGCGGTAGTCGCGAAAGATGCCTCCAATTGCGCGAGCTTCAATAGGATCTCCTACCGCCGTTCCTGGACACAATGTGAAGTCAGCCTTCCTCTGTGTACCCACGGTGGTTGATTAAGCTAATGCCACTTACCGGTCCCGTGAGCTTCAAAATATCGCGTTGTTCCCAGGTCAAGACCTCCTCTCTTATAGGTATCGCGGATGAGTTTCTCTTGCATAGTCCCACTAGGCTGCATAATCCCGGGCGTACGTCCATCCTGGTTCGAGGAGGAGGATCGGATTACAGCTCTTATAGTGTCTCCATGACGGATGGCCTCCTCCAGCGGTCGGATTACTAGGACGCCAACACCTTCACCTCGGGCATAGCCGTTCCCACGCTGATCAAAGCTATATGAGCGACCATCCTTCGAGAGTAAACCTAAATTATCAAGGCAGAGGCTCATTTCCAACGCCAGGATAGTATTACTGCCAATAGCTAGTCCCTTTCTACAAGTTAGCGGATTGTATATCACGCCAAGATCATTCAACCAGTCTTACCATCGATGAGTTACCACTCCAGATAGATTGACAGGCCAAATCAATTGCCATCAAACTACTGGAACAGGCAGTATCAACAGTGGCACTTGGGCCTTGCAGGTTGAAGAACCAACTGACACGATTTGACAACATATTCATAGATGTCCCAGTAGCATGCCATTTTGGTAATGTCATAGGATCTTTTACTTGTAACGTGTGGTAATCATGGGAAAAGCTTCCCGTAAAGACGCAGGTCTTGGAGCCTGACGCTTCCGCCAGAGTAATTCCAGCGCTCTCTAGCGCGCGGTAAGATGCCTCTAGTATCAGTCGCTGTTGCGGATCCATTGCCTCTGCCTCGGTGGCATTTATTGTGAAGAACCCAGCATCGAAAGCGCCCAAGTCTCCCTTCATGAAATTTCCTCCCCTTAGAGATAGATGGTCCAGACGCTCACGGTCCGGATGATAAAGAGCATCGATATTCACCCGATCGGGAGGGAACTCGCTCGCGGCGGTTCTCCCCTCCAAAAGCATCTTCCAAAAGTCATCTGGTGTCACGGCGTCTCCTGGGAACTTCAGTGATATGCCCACAATCGCCAGGGGCGGCAGGCCCTTCTCTGAACATGTGGACATGGTTGGCATGGAAGACAAATCGATAAGCCAGCAGTGATCCTGGATACAAGCAAATCTCAGGTGAATTCCTATGCCAATGTAGATGTTCTGTAGATTATACTAAGCCTATAGACCTGTACTTTCTAAGATAACGTAACTTCATTCAGTTAGACTTCAAACATAGTTGCGTTGAATCTCTGCGCTGTTTTTTACTCACCACTAGATGAATGCATCTAAAAATGCCTCGCCACGTCACTTGTTATGACTGTTCGACAAATCACATCCAGTGAGAGCATCAAAGAGCTGTCATTGGGCTGCTACCGCTACTGCATTGTGGATGGCCTGAATCTACCCAATTCCCAATACTGGAGACTATTGATTTTCGTCAGAAGATATCATGCAAGGCGCATCACACTCGTCACTCTGGTGACCAGCGGAATATGTCTCCATCAAGTAACCCACTTTTTGATGTCAGGTGTGGTTGCATCATAAATAGATACCTTTGACGATTATTGCCTTTAGGGGACAAGCGCCTATGCAGCTACAGGTGGAGTTTCTAAGGTGTCCACTGCAGCTGTGTGTTTGGAGAATCTCGTATCAATTAATCCTTCCTCTTCACAACACCTTGCTTGACGTTTGATTATTGGCCAATCTAGCACCTCTCATGTAGGGCTTCCCATCTGCTGCGAGAAAACAATGCAAGAGATAAGCGCTACAGAATTTCCATCTTGGCTCATTCTCCCCTTGAAGAAGTCCCACCCCGCGCTAGGGCTGCATGTTTTCTTGTTGAAAAAAAAAAAAAAAAAAAAAAAATGAAAAATGAAAAATGAAAAAAAAAAAAAAAAAAAAAAAAACATAAAATATGCACATGATACCACGACATTTCAATTTACGTTACGGAATTGAGTTCACTTGTATAGATGAACTTTGCTATGGTTCCCTAGATTGATCGGTTTTATTTAGACTGCCTCGAGCCCCGAGATAATCCCTTATGTTCCCCTTTGGAAGAGGCGGACAGTACTAAAGGCTACAATTTTCCACCTTTCATGCTCTTTGGATTCTAGACTCCGCTCCGTCGATCGGTCTCCAGGCAAAATGAGGTTTCTTTGGTACATTCCATGGACCCATTAACTCGCGGCTGATTTGGCTAACCCTCTCTAGTCTACATGGCATTGGAAGCAATTCCCAGGCAAGCAAAGTCACGTTGAACTCGTCGGGGCCTTGAGAAGACTTAGTTACTGATGCCATGGCTTATCTCAGATGTTTGAACAGCAAACAGGTAATACAAGCTAATACCGTTAGCTGCATTCCAAGATTTCCACTACACTGGATAAGCTGACTGCATTTAATGCCTAGCCGCTATTCGATACGAGCTTGGCAACCAACATACCTATGAATTCGTCGAAGGCGCATTGCCCTGGGAGTCGTGTAAGGCCAACCGTTTACCCCACAGAGTCGAAGGCTTTCTAACAATCGAGTAGCCATTAAAAATGCCACCAAGACGGATGAACCAACATTCAGCTTTTGTGACCCTGACCAGCCGCAATCATGCCGACAGGCTGCTCGCGACATCGAGGGGTACATCAAAGAGGAGGGCCCTTTCGACGGAATTATTGGGTTCAGCTTGGGAGCAACCATGGCCCTTTCGTGGTTGGTGAATTGGTATCAGACCAAGCAGGAGAGTGGGTCTGATGTCGCGCCATTTAAAGTGGCTGTCTTTTTCTCGAATGCCAGGCAGCCATACGATCACGATGCATTTGCTACAGACCGCATTGCATATTTGGATTCCACCCAAATGGGTAAAGTGATTGACATGCCAACTGCCCATATCTGGGGATCGACGGACCCACAGGCTGAGGAAGCACAGCAAGCTGTGGATTTTTGTGATTCGGAAAGAAGATCCATCTTCGTGCATGCAAAAGGGCATGAAATTCCTAGCTCAGTGGAGGACACAGTATCCATAGCGAAGGTGATCAATCGCGCCATTTACCAAGTCGAAAGAAAATGAAAGCTGAGCCGTTGAGAACCCCTTGCAGGAAATTGTCACTGTATACTGTAACACCTCTTCTAGCAAGGTATAAACCAATACATCGGTATGAATGCGTAGTGACAAAGCCAAAGATCTGTCTCACTCTCCTGTAAGGCGACCTGCCCGCATAATATTTCCTTTTATTGCATTCTGCATGCTCCTTCGGTCCTGCACAACCAGCCTTTCTGTCTCATGTTTAGGTACCCTATTTGTAGCTGACACCCATTCTCAGGTAGCTGAGCCTGAGTAATAACCAGCATCCTACAGTGTCTTACGCGCCTCACCTACCCATCGTAGCTACCATTCGGTAATTTCCCTGGATTCTGAAAGAAAAAAAAAATCATGTCCGAAAAACAGTCTACCGAGGGTGTCAGTGAGACCGCCAGCGACCCTATCGAATGGGATGGTGCTTTACATGGATTCCCCTTATATCTTGGGGCCTTTGGGTATGGAGAAAGCTGTGCGAAATAGCTGTATATTTACTAATGTAATTATGTATCTATTCATCTCAGACTCGGCCTGGCTCTCTTCCTTACAGGCATTGAAGCCACTATTGTGAGCACATCCTTAGTTACCATCACCAATGATTTGGACGATTTTGGTCGAAGCAGCTGGGTTATCACATCCTACTTGCTCACCTACACAGGTACCTGGTGCAGCCCAACGACCATACAATATCTCTTGACTAAGCTTCTTCACGATAGGGTTTCTTATGATCTGGTCGAAGATTGGTGATATTTGGCGGGTGAAAACAAGTCTCCTCGCTTCCCTATTCATTTTCACGGCATTCTCTGGCGGTTGCGGTGGTGCCCAAAGTCTCAGTCAACTGTGCGTTTGTCGTTTTTCCTTTCCACTATGATGCGAGATGGAGACAAACTGATCTCATACATGCAAGAATCATCTGCCGGGCATTTCAAGGGGTCGGCGGCGCTGGTGTCTACTCTCTCACCCTATTTTCCTTTGTCCGTATAGTCCCCTACCGGCAGTACGATACCATAAGCTCTGTCGCCGGTGGCATACTGTCCCTTGGGCTTGTCCTTGGGCCCTTGATTGGAGGCGCTGTGGCCGAAAAGGGCAGTTGGCGCTGGGTTTTCTTGTGCAAGTACGGTCGCTTCATCTCTACCATCATTCACCTATTCTGATGACAGCTACTACAGTGTTCCAGCCGGGGCCTTTTCCTGGGTACTATTACTTATCGTACTTCCAGCTAACTTCCCCCATGCTCCGTCGGCTCAAACAACTTCATCCACCTACAAGGGAGCTGGGCTAAAGATAAAGACTTTCTTCCAGCGGGCAGATACCCTGGGCGCTCTAGCCTTGTTAACTGCGTCCTCATTTGCTATCGCGGCCTTGCAAGAAGGTAATTTTGAGTACGCATGGTCGTCGGGCCTTGTCATCAGTTTCCTCGTTATCTCAGGGCTCTTTTGGATTGCATTCCTCCTGTGGGAGTGGTTTATCAGTAAGAAGGACCTTGATATGTATGCAATGTTCCCCTGGAGACTGACGAGTAACCGGATCTTCCTGGGCGCTGCCCTGTAAGTACCCCCTTTGCCCATGATGATGGCTCATCCCCGAACAAGTATTTATCAAAATAACAGGGGATTCTTTACAACTGGCCTCCCAATGACTGTCAGCATCATCATGATCCCTCAGCGGTTTCAAATCGTCAATGGTTGTTCCCCGATCGGTGCCGGAGTCAGGTTCTTATCCTACGCGTTAAGCAGCCCGGTTGGCATAATGTCCTGCTCTGTACTAACCGGGCGCCTTAAGATACCGTTTTGCTACATTGCGCTCGGTGGAATAGTCCTCCAGGTTGTTGGTCTCTTCTTATTTTCCGAGACCGCTTTCTCAACGGCGATCTCAGCTGCACAGTATGGTTATCTTGTCCTGGCCGGGCTAGGGACAGGTACCAGTGTAGCGGTATTCTACATGATGGTGCCGCTTGTAGTCGACGGTAAAGATCAATCCATTGCCTTGAGCACCGGGCTCCAGCTTCGAATGCTGGGTGGTGTCCTGGGCGTTGCAGCATCGACTACCATTCTGCATAATTATCTCAAGAGTCGATTGTCGGCGACCCTGGATCCTGACCACGTCAACCTACTGCTCTCTTCCAGTGATGCCATTGAAATGTTTTCCCCTGTAATTCAACTTCAGATCCGCAAGGCTTACTCGGTGGCCTATAGCGCACAGGTAAAGCTTGCAGGAGGATTCTCCGTGGCTCAGTTGCTGTCTGTCGCGATGATATGGAAGCGCTCAAATGTGCGCTATCTCAAACGCTAGTCATGTAACCACCCCCATCTGAGCATGAAGATGAAGGCGTGTTTGACACCATGGAAGCTAGCAGTTATACGGTCAGAGGGGCTGCCACGGCCCTCAGCGCGAACCGCAACTGAAGTGGTATGCGAGATCCTGGGTAGGATTCGGTTTCTAGAGAAGATCCTATATGATATTATGATCACGCAAGGGGCTGGTTACAGAATACTGTCCCTTCTCCCACATGCTGCTCGGATATCTGTAGCTTAGGGTACATAACATTTTTGTCGGAGTGTAGTTTTGAAATTGTACTTTTCTTTTGCTCTCTGTACAGTCGTACAGGGGCAGTATATGCCCTACTTGGGAGCAAGCAAGTGGCATTGATTAAAAGTCTAATCTTGTCGACGCTGAGTTCTTGAGCCCTTGTCACTCCCCACGGTATACGAACGATTAGTCTAGATACCCACATAACGCATACCATCCTCATTCCATTAATGCATTCCAGGATGGCAAGAGATCACACTCACTATCCCTTCCGCGATCCACAATTCTTGAGGATGTAGCAATCGATCAGTATGCACGATCTGTCGATATGCTAGCTCAATCACGGTCTTAGTGGCGGGTCATCACACTTCTATGTTTTCCGCACCCATAGACGCAAGAGTACGACGCAATCTATTCTAGTACACTAGCAGGCTATCAACATTCATCCTTCCCAGCCCTATCTTTTACAAAGCCAACTAACCCAACAGATTCGCTAGCTTTGCTAAAGAGTCAAGCCTCAGCGCAGCACGATCATCAAAGCAACAACCACCCTTCTCATCATACAGCACAGCCGAAATACCAGCAGCCCGCGCCGGTACAACATCCCGTTTCTCATTATCCCCCACATAAACCATATCCGACGCAAGAATACCATACCTTTCCAACACAGCAGGGAACAACCCATCAACCTTCGACTGCCCAATCTCATTAGTCGTGACAAGCACATCAATATACGGTCTCAGTCCCAGTTTCTCCACAGTCCACCGCTGCGCATCCTGCGGCCCCTCCGTTATCACAATAACCTTCTTCCCGAGACCCTTAATCCGTTGAAGTAGTTGAAGAGCCCCCGGTTTCAGCGTCAGCGCTGTCCGCAGATCCACTTCATAGACCTCCAAAAGACGGTCCAATCTCTCCGTCGACACCTCCAATCCATGGGCCCGGAGTAGAAGCGAGAACCGTTCTCTGCGATACTCGGTTGATGTCCTTCCGTCCGCGAATGCACCCGCTGTCGTCGAGACGAGTATGTCCCGGTAGGACGTTTTCAGGTCGTCGATATTGACAGTTGGGTTTTCTTCATGGATGGCTGTAAATACAGCTGAGGATGCATGGGCAGAAGCCTTGCGGAACTCGTGTAAGGTGTCGTCGAGGTCGAAGCCGAACCATGTTTTGGTTGATAATAATGTTCGCATAGTGGCTGGGTCTAGATCGTGGGTGTTTTGGGGCATGGTGTTTAAGGATGATATGTTTTAGGGTTACTCTGCCTCATTAGGAGGGTTGGTTGGTTTATTTGTTAGAGACTCGTTGGTTATGGGTATATATACATCGTTTGATTGTGTGACTGTATGTAACTATTACTAGTATAACTATCATTATACTTTATTTGAACTTCTACAAAATGAGTCAGTGGTCGACTATGAAATTTGGCCGTTTGATGGCGTGATGTTCCCCACATGTGCTGATTTGTATACATCTGCCTTAGCCGTCTCTTATTCAGCAGCCCCACCCGCCTTCGGTGTGTTGGTCTGCCACACCCCAACGATAATTCCTATGTCAACGATAAATTTGAAGCTATTCAGATTCCTATACAATATCGCCTTGAGTATCTATTCAAAAGGGTAATCTAGGATCTTTCTTATTTATCTGACTAGTCTCTGTACTAGGCAGACTTTCTATATCTCTCTGTTGTGATAGTTTATTCTATCCTAAAGTTCCTGTTTTTCTGATCTGTCTAAGATCCTGTAGTCTTTCTATCTCTGTACAATCAGTAATATAGTATTTTATATTATATATAGTCAGTGGTTTATTATACCAGACTCTTCTCTGTGATTTCTGTCTATTTTGAGGCTTTTAATATCGGAGGTATTGTTGTAAATTATTCTTAAGCTGAGCGACTAATTCAGTGGTTTCTAGCGAGCTCTGGAATATACGGTTAAGATATTATATAAAGCTTTGATTAAACTCTGGACTATTTTTAATAAAGCTCTGGGCTTTACTAATATTTCGACAAAGATTTTATATTGTAGATAGTAGCAATAAGCTTAATAGTAGTGATAATAGTATTGTAAATATCTGAAGCTCTGGAGCTGATTCTAAAGCTTTATTTAAAGATTTAAGAATTGGCTCTGAATTTAAGGGATATATATCTTGCTTCTCGAAGATATACCGGATTATATATTGTTTAAAAATCTCTGTATAAATAGAATAAATCTGTTTTAAGAAATTACTTTTATTGTCTATCTCAGTATCTCTTGAAGCAAGCTTATTATTTTGCTTGCGATAGAAGTATTTGTAGGCTTGAAAAGATTATCTATTGAGAGACTATACAAGGTGTATTGTATAAGGAGGAAAACAGTAAGATATAATATAATACTGTCTACAAAACTGAAGGAATTTATAGATAAGATAGGACTTGTAGCTATTAAAAAGTAGTAATCGAATCTCTTTTTTAAAGATACGGTATTTTGTATAACAGTAGAAATACTGAATCCAGTCAAGACTAATTCTGTCTAAAGTATAGTTTTTAGGAGACAGAGTTATTTAATATTTATAAGAAATATCTGTATTGTATTACCTTTTTAGATGATATATATCTTTGAATATAAAGTATGGAGGAAGAACAAAACTGTTAGCTATAATATACTCTATTGTAGAGATCAGTTTCTCTATTTCTTTAGATAAATTTTCTCTTGCGGCTTGTATAGATATAGTAGTTATAATTTTTTGAGATTTTCCCTGTTCTAGTTAGAAGCCGGTTTTATCAAAATTATATATATTTTTAGGAGGAATCTGCTTGATAATAGACTCTAGGCAGTTGTACTAGTATTAAAGAATATTTACTTTCTCTGTATCAAAGTAATTCTTGTCTTTTGGCTTCTGTTAAATAAGCTGAAACTTACTCGGGAGATATTTAATAAAGCGATATACCCAGTTCTTGTTAACTGTACAAGATAGTCTGTTAATTGTATTCTATTGTAGTATCTGGTTGGTACTCTGCTTAATTATTTCGGCTGTAGAAGGACAATATAGATTATTAAGCTGACAAATCTAATAAATTAATATCTTTTCTTGTATATTATCAAGGGTCTTGGTTGAGATAGGATATATACTTCGAGTCGCTCGGTCTTGAATTTGTGCTCGGAGTCGTTGATAAGGAACATCAAATTAATATGTCAATACAGTAATATTAGACTTTTTTTGGTCTTGAGCGATTTCACAAACCTGTACGATATGTATCTCAATATCAGAATAAGAATCAGGTATTGTGGTGGTAGATAAAAGGTCTGAATAGCTTCAAATTTATTGTTGACATGGGAATTATTGTTGGGGTGTGGCAGACCAACACGCCGAAGGCGGGTGGGGCTGCTGAATAAGAGACGGCTAAAATATATCGTACGGCCGGGGTAACACTTCTTCAGCAGAGCGAAGGAGAATATAGGTCTCAAAGAATTGTAGTATATATTTAACTTTATTTCTTTTGCAGCAAGCAGTTCAAGTATGTGCTTAATGTATTACGACTTATATGGTGTTGAGCCAATTGTGAGGTGAATTGCTGACCGTGTTTTGGAGGGGTTGTTGATCTGTTGACCGGCAGAATCTTTGGCTGCGCGAGGGGTTCTAGCTTGTAATACCGCAAAAGAATTGGCCGTTACACATGCAAAACAGAATGTAAAAATTGAGGTAATAGATAAATCATCAAGAAAGCATTTCGAAGGAAATGTGCTGTATTTTGTAGAAATATTAGTTCAAGTATATCGAAGTAAACAAACCCTTTTTCATACTCAGATAGGATGCCGTCAAAGATGTTTGTGTTGTTTGCACAGAAGACCGCCACCCGCAGCTTGTCACACGTGACAGCGTGGCTGGTGAATCTTGGCATCTTTCATCATCATCAAAAGTTCCTTGTCATGAAGTGAAAAAAAAAACAACTAACTCATTGTTATACTCTCGTTATCGTCCACTTTTGGAGCAACGCCTCACTGCTTGGTCTTTGTCCTACTGTTTGCCAGGCAAGACAAGGGAGATCTTTATAATCAGTTTTTCAACCCGGTGGCGTGAGTGCTAGTGATTGGGCAGCCTTCTTCACCTCCCTCCCCTTCGATATCTTTCCCCTTCGGACCGGATTTCGACTGCCCGGATTTTACGCCATGACTACGGTAGTTGCTGTTGGTACTCCCCTTGCGGAGGCCTTGAGTAATGTCATCCAGCCGAAGCTGGTAGAGATGGGATGGAGCTCCGACGGCGGCGATGATTCTGCGTTAACCGAATACGTGATTCTCATGCTTGTCAACGGCAAGACACAAGAACAGATTGCTGGCGAACTCTCCAACGACCTCCTCGGACTCGGCGAAGGCGATACACAAGCCCTGGACTTTTCGCGATGGCTCTTTGAACAGGTCGAATTCCTCAACCAGCAGATCAATGGCGGGGGTATCCAACAATCAATTGAAAGCGACCCTGCGCAGGCTATTCCGTCCTTTAATGACCAAGAGGCCTCCGACAACCAAGCGATGATGACTGGGGATGGCGCTATGGATGCCGATATGGGCATGGGCGACAACGGAGCTGCGAACGATACGATGTGGGTTTCACCTTCGGACTCTGCGGTGGTGACTTGGGCTGACACAGAAACCAATAGACCTACAGGCCCGAAAGCAATGCGCAACAACAGACCAGGCGGGAGAGGTAGGATGCTCAACCAGATAAATCGCCAACTAGACCGCGCCGATTCTGCGTTACACCGCGTCCGCGGCCAGCCCGGTAGTGGACGTATCAACTCCCATGGCCGTGACCATACAAAGGGTCGCTTCCATCAGCATGGCGGAGGGAGGATGTCGGGCGGACGTCAGATGGGTGGAATGGGTATGGGACCCAATCAAATGCCGGGTGGCCCAGGAAACATGATGAACATGACCCCGCAAGATCAGATGCATCTCATGTCTCTACTCGAAGAGCAAGCAAGGATGATGTCCCAGTTTATGCCCGGCTTTGTATCGCCAGCGATCAACCCAGCTTTCCAACAGAACGGACCGCAACAGGGCCGTTCATTGTTTGACCGCGTGGAACGCCAGCAGGGCCGCCGGCATTTTAACAAGCGAGACGACAAGAATGCCGATACCGATATGGACACAAAGCCCGACCAGGGTGGTGAGCAGGATGAAAGCAATACGGACTCGATATGTCGCTTTAATCTCCGGTGTACTCGGAGAGATTGCCCGTTTGCGCACCAGTCGCCAGCTGCCCCCGAGGGCACTCCCGTCGATGTGGCTGACGTATGTTCTTATGGAGCCGCTTGCAAGAACAGGAAGTGTACCGGTCGCCATCCGTCACCTGCCGTTAAGTCAGCCCACCAAGCTGAAGAGCTGTGCAAGTTCTTCCCTCATTGTGCGAACCCTCACTGCCACTTCAAACATCCTTCGATGCCTTTATGTCGGAATGGTGCAGATTGCTCGACCGAAGGGTGCAAGTTCACGCATGTTCAGACGCCTTGCAAGTTCAATCCTTGTCTCAACCCCTCGTGCCCATACAAGCACGCCGAGGGTCAGAAAGGAGCGTTCGCGGACAAGGTGTGGACTGCTGATGGGCAAGAGAAGCCGCATGTGAGCGAGAGGAAATTCGTCTCCGATGAGGACGGTGCAGAGGAACTGATTAAACCCGGTGGCGCTGAAGAGCCTTCCCAAACCAACCAAGAGATTGCGACATAACTAGCAGAGCGATCTCTATGATTTCTTTTGATGATCTCACAGTTAAAATTCCCCATGTGGTTTAATATCATATCATGTATTATTTTCCGTGCGGACGATGGGTGACTGGTGGCAAGGGCGTTTGCTTGACTTTATCTATAGGACCGGCAGAAAGAATATCAAACTGGCTTTGTAAATAGATCTGGATATCAATCATATCATGAAATTTCCAACGCCATTGCATGGCGCTGACTTCCTCTTCTTTCTTTCTTTCTTTCTTTTTTTTTTTTTTTTTTTTTTTTTTTTTTAATTGTTGTTATCCATCATACCATTAATACTGGTAAGATTTGAAGGAATAGGGCTGGGAAATTTATGTAATTTCAGGCAATTACACCGCCGGCCGTCGGCAGCCTGTTGGAGCAGCTCACCTGATGGAGTAAAGCAGCAGCAACTTTCCCACCTTTGGTTTTCCAACCATGCTCTTCCTTTGTCCTCACTTGCAGTTTCATCCTCTCCAATTGCTGAGATGAGACTACCATGTGCCCCTAGCCGTGCACTCAGGGGGGTGCGCACGCCATTGGCGTTCGCCCGCATCGGCCAGAGATACTCCTCAACGTACGATGCCGCCGTCATTGGCGGTGGCATCACCGGTCTCACAGCAGCTTATCGGCTATCGCAGGACCCCAATTGCTCCAAGATCACACTATACGAGAAGGCTCCTCGTGTAGGGGGCTGGCTACTGTCAGAAAAGATTCCGGTCGAAGGTGGAAACGTTGTATTTGAGTATGGCCCGCGGACCTTGCGGACCGCAGTCCCCTCGTGTCTACCCCTTCTCGATCTGGTAGAGTAGCCCCTCATATATTGCCCGATACTACGAACATCAAGCGCTTACAAGTTTTATGTTCTATAATAGCTCGTTGAGCTCGGCCTACACGATGACGTTCTCTTAACAAGCAGCTCGTCGCCTGCCGCGCGCAATCGTTATATCTACTATCCTGATCACCTCGTTCGTATGCCCGCGCCTGACCCCAACGCCGGTCCGATCGAAAACATTACCAATCCGCTATATGCTATGCTACGTGAGCCGGTCTTCGAGGGTCTCCTTGCGAGCGCTATCTTGGAGCCAGTCCGCGCCCCTCCGGACCACAAGTCGTTCAATTCAGACGAGTCCGTTGCGGACTTCGTGTCGCGCCGATTGTGCCCAGAGGTGGCAGACAACCTCGTTTCGGCTTTATTCCATGGTATTTATGCGGGCGACATCAGTCGGTTAAGCGCGCAGACACTACTAGGTACCTTCCGGGACCTTGAGAATGATGACCGCCGAGTTATCGGAGGCTATATTAATTCTCTGATGTCAGATATCAAGCTTATGGCTATGGATGATCTGTTGGCCTTGGAATCTGTCGCACATGAAAAACCTGGGATGTACTGGAAAAGCTTACGGACGCTTGTCAACAAGACTAGCGTGTTGACGTTGAAAGACGGTCTGAGCCAGCTCTCAGACGGCCTGGTTGACACTCTGAAGAAATCTAACAAGGTCGACGTTTTGACGAATACGGACGTTAAGTCCATTACCCAGAATCCGACGACGCACGATCTGATTGTAAGCTACCGGAAGTGGCTACTCTTTCTTGTTATTGGACGGTCTACTAACATGTATATTCTGTAGGTTGGATCTGGACAGGACAGGCCACGAATCCACAATCGCGTAATTGCTACAATTCCAGCTCCCGAACTTGCAAACAAGCTCGCGACTACGATAACGAAAGACCAGAAAGTACCCCAAAGTACTATTCGGAATCTCCAAGAGCACAATTATGCTGTAACAGTCATGGTTGTCAACTTGTATTTCCCTAACCCAGACCTCCTCCCGGTCAGCGGCTTTGGATACCTCATACCGCGGTCGATCCCTTATGAGCAGAACCCCGAGAGGGCTTTAGGAGTTATATTTGGATCTGATTCTAGCGTTGGTCAGGATACTGCACCCGGCACTAAGCTTACGGTGATGATGGGTGGTCATTGGTGGGATGGTTGGAAAGAGTCCGATTATCCCGACCATGACACAGCCGTTGCAATGTCTCGTGCATTGCTTCACCGGCATCTGGGCATTACGGATGCGCCAACTCTAACGAGCAGTCGGCTGCGGCGGAATGCCATTCCCCAATACACTGTTGGACACTTGTCTCGCATGCGCGAACTGTCCCGGTCCACGCGGCACGAGCTCAACAACAGACTTACTCTTGCAGGAAGTTGGTATAATGGCGTTGGTGTGACGGACTGCATCCGACAGGGGTATTTAGCGGCGTCGTACGGCGTCGGTGCTCGAAAGCTGGGCCCCGGTGACGGCGATCGCCCCTGGAGGAGGTTCGACTATGAAAAATGGGAGTTGGAGGGCGGCATCGTCACTTCTCCTGTACGATGGGCTGAGGTGTACAGGACCGAACGCAAACATTTTTGAGCTAGAGATTCTTTCTTATGACCCTGTATAATATATATACTCAAGCTAATCTCGCCAACACAAGGGGATAAAAAATTCGGAAGTATTGCAGACTTCTCTTCTGTAATATAGTTGCGTAACGAATTGCCCAGAAGGGGTCCGTAGTGAGTGATAGATACATCCAAGTCCAAGTGCAAAAGAACAGACACGTGCCACATAGAATATGAGATGGATAGCCAGAGACTTTTATTACTCTAATTCATAGGACAGTGCCCCTGTATGAGTGACAAGGAGTTCACTGGGGTTTTCCATATCAAGAGTTCCTCGAGTAGCTGACAGGCGGCAGTACGCCGGTAGCTGCATATATGCAGTTCAGATTAAAATAACACCCGCGGTGTGGCCAAGCCTCGTCTCACTTGATAAGAGTCGTTGTGTGGTACCACAGAGGCGCGGGTCTACTCGAAAAATCTTTGACAGGAAAAGTCCTTCCGGTTATCAATCTCGATACCTAATGGGTAGACTGTCCATTATAGGACGGCCGCCGGAAGAACCGCTATATTGATATAACATACGTGATCGATCATATGTCGTATCGGGTTCAGACTTTGTCTTCCTTCTCCGCAGAGCCGTCTTTCTTGTCACCGTTCGAATCAAATCCGAGTGCGTCAAGCTGGCGGATCAGTTCCTGGATCTTGATTACCTTCTCCAGTTGCTCGGGGAGCAGGGCTTCTCCTTGGTTCTTCTTGTCCCGTAGGTCGCGTGCTTGCCGGAGTTTCTTCTTCAAATTGCGCGCCTTCTTTTCGTTCTCGGCTTCTGGATCGACGGTGTCTTCAGCTCCTCCAGCTGCCTTATCTGATCCACTAGATTGCTTCTTATCGGCGCCCGAAGCCGGGGTACGCCAGTTGTCGATCTCGTTTACATTTTTGCCCTCGGTAGTAGCTGTTCCTTCCTGAGCTGCCTTTGCTTTCTTCTTCGCTTCCCTCCGCTTGGCATTCTTGTTACTAGCAGCCGTGCTTGTTTTAGCGGGGCTTTCATTCTCGGTTTTCAAGCTTTCTGCACCAGGCACTCCGGAGTTACCACGGTTCTTCCAGGCTTGTGCAGCACGGTTCTTATACAGCTCCACATCCTCAGGGGGGCGATAACCGGGTCGAACACGGATTTCGCGGCGTTTTGTGCCATCGGCACGCACCGATGAGGGGATATAGCGCTCTCCGGTCACTGCGTCCGTTGTGATTCCCGAGTTCGTGGAAGCCATGGCTGTGGTGGGGATAATGTGGAATTTCAGTAGATTTACTTGTGATTCCTCCGGCCGACTTGAAAGGATGTAGTATAAGAAGTATGCTGTAATTATTGGAGATCTCAGGGGAAATCCAACCGTGACGAGGTATGAGACGAGAGGAATTGGGCAACAATAATTTTGTAGAGTCGAGTGCGTGACTTTGAGGTGGTTTCCTGAGGCGGCCATTCGGAGGCTCTGCACAGACTTGGTTCCGGCCGTCCAATCAGCGTCCCGGTGATTCCCGCTGGTGCTTTTCGCGCCGGCCAACTTGTCGGCTCGAAACTTCAACCTCGCATTCCTCCATTGTGACATAGTCCCCGTCTCCTTGCTGCCTCTCTTTCTTTTTCCGCCCTCATTCCCTAGTTCAAACTCGTCACAATGGCCGGCGCTGTAAGTGATTCTTGCTTGGAATTGACTAATGATGTTCAATGGCTAACCACAGTGGTTACCGCTCCAGATTGCTTCCGCTATCTACCAGCATGTCTCCCCTCCCCGGATCACCCAACGACGGTCTCGTTGACGATATCTTCGGTCTCGCTAACCTGTGATCTTTCAACGGTATTAGGGGCCTGATCCGCAGGAACGCCGTTTACCTCACGGCCATCTTCTCCAGTGCCTTCGCTTTCGAGATGTGCGTGTCGACCTGATGTTGGTCTGTGAGAACAGACTGCTGACCAGATTTCTACAAACAGTGCCTATGACTCGACCTCCAACCGCATCTGGGATGCCATGAACCGCGGCGTATGTTTATAACTTTCGACCCTGACGAATCGGGATCATCAAGGACTATAGTACTGACGGATTTTACAGCGCCAATGGAAGGACATCAAGCACCAGTACATGGTCAAGGATGAGGAAGATGACGAGTAAAGAAAAGGCAGTAATTGATGGATCCATCTTGGGGAAAGCTGTCGGTCCCATGTTATAATACAGTCGAGCCCTGGAGAGACATTGGTATATGCTGCGTGTGTCTTGTATGAAATAGAATCTTTAACACTGTATTCACCTCGGAATTCACTTGCTCGATTTTCCCTAACCAATCACCGGGTTCCTACATTCATCTGTGGTCTATAAAATTATGCTTCCGGTGGTGGGGAGAACTTGAGCTTGCAAGATGGTAGTGGCGCCAAGAGAGCCGTTGTTCGATGTCATACTTAGAATATAAACCCAACCACCACAACCACCGTCGGACATTTCCAATCGCTCTTTACGACAAACGCTCTTGCTTTGTTAACTCGATACGGTTCCGTTTGCCGGTGATTTCCCTTCGCTATCTATGAATAAGGCGAAGAGTTTCGTACGAATGCTACTAATGACCTGAAAAGAACTTAATGGGGTGGGTTGCCCGTTGGGTTGTTTTCGCATTTAATCCCACCAAATCTTTCCCCCCCCCCCACAGTGACATCGATCGCTTTAGAATGTCGGATCACTAAGCGTTCACTGATAGGTTTTTCTTCTCATCTTTTCTTTTCTGACTAGCCTCACCCTAATCTAATCAAACCCCGCTCTGCACATACCATCAAACTTTCCGTTTGAGGAGCTTTGCAACGCTCTCTCGAGATTTTGTTCATTCCTTATCGCGGTGGAACAAACCGGACTACAGTTCCGTCCCGCCACACGGAGCTTCTTAGGTCGCCGACACCCTCCTCACTCTATACCCGTGCAAATTGAATGCGTCTCGTCTTCTCGGACTAGAGACGATAAATGATGCTTACAGAATGTGAGAGGATCCTTGGTGAAGGCCTTCAACGGCTTCCTTCCAATCATAACTACCGTTACGGTCCTCAAGCAGAGAAAGATCTGCTCGAGCTCCTCTTCCGTTCGCTTAGCGGTCACAACGAAGAACGCCTTCGACAGTTATTCCCAGATGGACTGCCAACTGGGCCGTGGAAGCTAGCAGAAGCTCAGGGCGCCAAGGAAGGTGCAGAATATACGGAAGCTGCGCGAGGCAAGCGTTGTGGTCATATTTTCAGAGCCGGGGAAGCGACGTATCGATGCATCACCTGTGCGGCGGATGATACCTGCGTGCTTTGCAGCCGCTGTTTCGACTCATCCGACCACACGGGCCATCAGTACCAGATTTCTCTCTCGTCGGGGAATTGCGGTTGCTGCGACTGTGGTGACGAGGAGGCCTGGCGACTGCCGCTGTTCTGTGCGATCCATACGGATAGCGGTGATAAAAAGGGCAAAGAGCGGGAGCAGGCTCAACTCCCGCGGGAGTGGGTGGATAACATCCGGCTGACTGTCGCTCGAGCGCTCGACTACTTCTGTGATGTGCTCTCTTGCTCACCGGAACAGCTGAGATTGCCGAAGACGGAAGAAGGCATCAGGCAGGATGAAGAGGCATCACGGCTACGCCCGGGGTGGTATGGTGAAGGTGACCAGGCTGAGGAAGAGCCGGAGTTTGCGCTCGCGTTGTGGAACGATGAGAAGCATACTATTCGCGATGTGGCTCATCAAGTGAGCCGGGCTTGTCGAGAGCGGGATTCCTTTGGAAATGATAGGGCCCAGGAGACCAATGATTACGGACGGAGTGTGGTCAAGTACTCGAAAGATTTGCAAAGGTTACTGGCCGTGTCGAAGATCATCGAACAGATCAAGGTCACCGTTACGATCCGGTCCGCCCGGGATACGTTTCGTGAGCAAATGTGCGGGACCATCGTCGAGTGGCTTGCAGATATTTCCGGGTGTAGCGTTATGGAGGATAACGATATTTTACGCCATACCGTCTGTGAGGAACTGTTGAGTCCATGGCGTCGCGGCAGCGGAGCCTTCAATGCAGATATTGGTATGAAAGGTATCGATGACCAGCAGAGGTCGGACAATGCACCGTATCGCACGGTAATGCTCACAGTATCGCCTCAAGGTCAAGTAGTTTTGGCCGCGGATGATGATGACGAGGATGAGGATATCGAAAATGGCGATGACCAGGGCGCAAACGAAGAGGGCGAGGACGATGAAGATTTTGTTGAGGGTCATGACGATGATGCCGACGATGAAGACGAAGACATGGAGATGGATTTGAACAGGCTGCGCCAAGAAGTTGAAGATGAAGACGAGGATATGGTGATGGGAAATGCGGATGACGCCCTGGACACCATCCAAGCTCTCTTAGGGTTCGCCCGTCAGCGACAGAACCCTGACAATGAACAGCAGCAGCAACAGGAGGAGGACGAGGAGGAGCAACCGCATGCAGAAGCAATCGAAACCGAGACGCAGAATGCCCCTAATGATTCGGTCTCCAGTGAGACCCACGATGATGCCTCGGCGTCTTACGTTCCCATCCCTAAAACACCCTCTGGTGTAGTCAAGCCTTCCCCGGCAAAGGCCCCGACTTACTGGCAGGTCAGATCGGCCGTACCTAAGAGAGGGGACAATGTCCCTCCATATGAGGATTTATGGCAACGCACCCGACTCGACTGGATGATTCTTTTCGATCTCAGGCTCTGGAAGAAGACACGTACTGATCTTCGCGATCTTTATATTAGCACTGTCGTGAATGTCCCTCAGTTCAAGCGTATCATGGGCTTGCGCTTGTCGGCTCTTTACACTGCACTGGCGCAACTTTACCTGATTGCCGATAGAGAGCCAGATCATTCCATTGTCAACCTCTCTTTACAGCTTCTTACCACACCTTCAATCACTGAGGAGATAGTCCTTCGAGGGAACTTCTTGACTAAAGTCATCTCTATCTTGTATACTTTCTTAACCACGAGGCAGGTTGGTGAACCGTACGAGGTAAATCCCAATGCAACGCTGGCGTTCGATGCTGGTTCCGTGACAAACAGACGCCTTTACCACTTCTTCTTGGATTTACGGTATCTTCTGCAGTCTGAGTATGTACAGAACCGCGTGCGGACCGAAGAGCAGTATCTCTGTCAGTTCTTGGATTTGGTTAAGCTCTCGCAGGGTATCTGCCCCAACGTCCGTGCCGTAGGGGAGCACGTCGAGTATGAGACGGACGCTTGGATCAGCGCGTCTATTCTTATGCGGGAGATTAATAGGTTGTGCCGTCAATTTTGCGAAGCATTCCGGAATCCCGAAGTTGATGGCGGCGAGAACTTGCTGCGAGCACTAAAAGTGGCTACTGTTTCCGCCGTTGCCCACTCCACCGGGATTGAGCGCAAGCGTTTTGACCAGGCGGAGATCAAAGAGTATGTTCGGTTCAAATCCTTACCGTTTTTTGACTTCGAGGGCGACGACCAACCAGGTCAAGTCTCACGCCACCGCGTCGTAGACTTCGTCGTTGAGCGAGGCTCCATCAGTTTCCATCATGCGTTGCACTACACTCTTTCTTGGCTACTTGAATGTGGTCGTAACATGAGCAGCTCTTTGATGCGCGATGCCCTGCTAGAGGCAGCGCAGATCGCGAACGACAATTTTATTCATGATAGCAGCCTTGCCCCAGAGGATTTGCTTCTCTCAATGTTCGATTACCCTCTCAGAGTTTGTGCCTGGCTGGCCCAGATGAAGGCGGGCATGTGGGTCCGCAATGGGCTCAGTCTCCGGCACCAGATGTCGCAATACCGCGGTGTATCGTCTCGCGATTTCGCATACTACCGCGATATCTTCCTGCTTCAGACGGCCTTGGTAACATGTAACCCAAGCCGTGTCCTCGCATCTATTGCCGATAGGTTTGGTATGGTGGACTGGATGACGAGGAACTACATGCCACGTGCTGGATACGAGGATAACCAAATTATTGATGTTGCCGAAGAGTTCGTGCATTTGCTTGTCATCTTATTGACAGATCGGAACTCGCTTGCGGCCATTGATGATGGCGATGCCGCGATGCGCGAAAACATCCGTCGTGACATTGCACACGTTTTGTGCTTCAAGCCTCTATCATTCTCGGATCTATCGACTCGCCTCAGTGACAAGCTGCTAGAATCGGACATGTTCCAAGACGTGCTGGAAGAGGTAGCAGGCTTCCGCCCTCCTGAAGGGTTGAATGACACCGGCACTTTCGAACTTAAATCTCCATACATTGATCTCATCGACCCTTACAGCGCTCACTATACCAAAAACCAGCGAGACGAAGCGGAGAATATATACAAGGAATGGATGGCGAAGAAAACCGGCAAGAAGGCATCCGATGTGGTGTTTGAACCTAAACTTCGGCCTATCACGTCTGGGGCGTTTATCGGCCTTCCACGCTTCACAAGGACCTTGCTATTTGCCCAGATTGTCCACCAATGTCTTGACTACGTTGTCTCCTCGAAAGATCGCACGCCGAATATCCCACCAACCCGTGTCGAGACTTTCTTGCAAGTTGTTTTGCACTTGATTCTTGCTGCTGCCCTGGAAGACAGCACTGAGGAAGATGAGATGACGGAAGAGCCGATGGAGTCATTCGTGTCTCACGCGCTCACGAAAGACAGAACCACCCAGGTAGGCTACCTGACCATCGTTGGCCTCCTAGAGAAGATATCCATCATGAATGAATTCTCTGCTTGTGGGCCTAAGATTCGCCATATTCTTAAGAAGCTATGGCAAAAGCGCCCTGGTACATATGCCAAGGCAACAGCCACGCTCAAATTCCCTTTTGACAGAGTCGATACAAATTCTCCCGCCATCGACACCGATAATGAGAAAGAGATGAAGAAGAAGCAAGCTCTTGAAAGACAGGCGAGAGTGATGGCTCAATTCCAACAGCAACAGCAGAACTTCTTGAACAGCCAAGGCGCGATTGACTGGGGCGAAGAAGATTTTAGCGACATGGAGTCCGAGCCTGAAGCTGCTCCTGAGACTAAGCTCTGGAAGTATCCGAGTGGCACCTGTATTCTCTGCCAGGAAGAGACAAGTGATTCCAGACTGTATGGAACTTTCGCTTTGGTTCAAGATAGTGGTATCATGAGGCAGACAGACATACGAGACCCCGACTGGATCCGGGAGGTGTTGACGACACCCTTGAGCTTGGACAAGTCTGCCGAAAATGTGCGGCCGTTTGGAGTCGCAGGCGAAAACCACACTACAGTGAAGCGGCTTGATTCCACTGGCGGGGAGGTTATCAGTGAGAAGGTTGGATTGAGCAAAGGCTTTAATGCGAAGAATACCTTGCGTGGGCCTGTCACAACGGGCTGTGGGCACATCATGCACTATTCCTGCTTTGAAGTCTACTATACGGCTACTCAGCGACGCCAGAGCCAGCAAATAGCGCGAAACCACCCTGAGCGTCTGAACTTCAACGAGTTCGTTTGCCCTCTTTGTAAGGCTCTGGGCAATGCATTCCTGCCGATCACTTGGAAGGGTAAAGAAGAATCTTATCCGGGTGTGCTAAACACAGCAGTGTCTTTCGACGATTTCATGGCTGAAGAGGTCAAGTCTGCTCTCTCCCACCCACGGAACTATGCGCTGCTTATGGAACATAACAAAATACAGCAGCAGTCTTATCAGGACCTTTTCCTTGACTACCTCAACAAGAGCTTAGTTCCCCCACTCGCCTCCAAAACAGAACAATTAATGACATCCCCACTGCCGTCGACCGCCCATTACGTTCAGCAAGCGAGGATGCCGGTGCCTGGTCTCTTCCCATCACAAGATGATATTCCTGCTGCCAGCCCGCTCCAGCAGGTTTCCAGCCCAGGTGACAACCCAATGTCCGAGCTTCTGCAGATCTATAAGCGGCTCAAGCAGACGCTCCGGTTGAATCACATCTACTCAACGTTCAGTCATCACCCGGACACCATAAAGACAGATGACCTCGTCCACACTGATTCGCTCTTTCAGACCTTCGGTTTTAGCATTGCTGCGGCCGAAATTCAGCAGCGTGGGGTTGAGTCAGAGCCAGGATCAACTCTACTGGAGAAGATTCCCCAGTTAACCCTGACCCACCTCCGCGTTCTAGCTGAGTCGGCTTTGACGTACGCCGCGGTTGGGTGCTTACATGACAGCAAAGGACCCCACACCCGTTCTGCCGACGAGATCCAGGAGATGCACCGCCAGAAGATTTGCCAATTATTTGTTGGTCATCCTTGCTTGAGCGGAACGGCACTGCTGGATGATGTCCGCGAAATTGAGCCACTACTGGGTAAAGACATTTTCGTGTTCCTGGCTGAATGCTCTTTATCCCTGCTGCCGATTCTTAATATTGACATTCGTCATCTCATCCAAATGTGCTATGTGGCCGAGATTGTGAAGGTCGCTGTGACCTACATCCTTTGGCCCCTCGGACTGAAGGAAGAACTGGCCCAAAATGGTGATGCGCATTATTTGTTGGATATGGAGCTGTCGGACGACCGATACAAGTCCACCAGGCAATTCTTCATCTCTGTTGTTACGGAACTCAAGTCGAACTCCGTTGGACGGGCAGAAGGATCATCGTTCCCCGCCGAGAGTGGCTACGTCAAGGACGGAGAGGATTCTGCAACGCCCGGCGTGGTCATTGCGTTGAGGCGTCTTGCTTCGAGCTACGCATTGACGTTCCTGCGCAAGGCTGTCATCCTCCTTCATGTGCAGCATGGGGTTGAGTTCCCCAACACAGGATTCCACGACTTGGGTGTGTCCGAATTGGACCGTCTCACTAAGACTCTACACCTCCCTTCCATCGATGAGATCTTTGCGTCTATCAGCACGGCGAGGAAGAGTGGCAGTCCTTTCGATGCTGTGATATCGGGCTGGATCTTCCACTGGAACGCCTCGCGTTCTGGCATCCGCATTGGCGATCACAAGCTATGGCCCAGTCTCTCTCATCCGGCCATCTTCGAACTCGTTGGGCTTCCTAAGTATTACGACAGTTTGATTGAGGAGGCCAACCGGCGACGTTGCCCAAATTCGAAAAAGGAACTAAGCGACCCCAGTATCTGCCTCTTCTGTGGAGACATCTTCTGCTCGCAGGCTGTGTGCTGCATGGAGAATAAGATGGGTGGCTGCAATCAGCACGTTCAAAAGTATGTTTATCTTTGGTTTAACAACTATCTCACTTGTTTACTAACGGTCTCTACCCAGATGCGGCAAGAATATCGGACTATTCATCAACATCCGCAAATGCACGGTGTTGTATCTCCATAACCACCATGGCTCCTGGCATTATGCCCCTTACCTGGACCGCCATGGGGAGGTGGACCCTGGCCTCCGCCGCAATCGCCAATTGATCCTCAACCAGAAACGATACGACCGACTCCTCCGCGACGTATGGTTATCGCACGGCATTCCCGCCACGATCAGCCGAAAATTAGAAGCTGATATTAACAATGGAGGCTGGGAAACTATCTAGAGGGATTTAATCGACTTTGCTGAACGGACTTACCATTTCATGTACTTGTTTTGATGTCTCATGTGCAGTGGAGACTGACTTTGCATTAATATCCCCCTGTCCTGATCAAAAAGTCATTACGACCGGCATTTTACATTATTGCTTCTTAATTATCTTATTCCCAGATACATGATTCAGTTGATCAATTGTATGGCTCGCTTCAATATAATTTTGAGCTTATCCGTTAAGCAGTGCGATTACCCTATGGAGGAGTATCAAGATACACGTAGTAGATGTAAGGACACACCAAGCTGCGCCTATTGAAACAATTAGGACACCCTAAACAATGCCACCCCGGCATCCTATAAAGAACATCAAAAAAAAAAAAAAAAAAGGATATATCGCGGTGTAGAATATATAGCACGGCAAAGCAGCAAACATGAACCATCTCACCAATGCCAAGAACCCTGACGTTGGCCTTGCTCTCTACTTTTTCTTTCCGCCGACAAGCTTTCCTCATCACCTCTTCCATTTTCCCAACCAACAACATACCTCAATCCTCTCAAAGAATGACCGGACAATAAATGACGATCTCCTAATTTCAATTCTCCTCTTTTTGTTACATTTCTATTCTTTTCAATCTTACCCACAGGTAGCCAAGCTACCTGTACAGTAACTTCCAACCTCTTATCTCCCTCGATAACACCGACCGAACAACCAAAGCATAAGAATCCCTGAGAAAAGATGAACAACGAACAATTCCGCCGTCTTCTCGTCAACAACAACAATACCAACTCGACCCAAAAACAAGGATCAAATACATCCCCATCCCAAAATGCGTCTCGTGGTGGAGGCGCAACACCTGCCCTGCTCGGGTCGCGGATGCGCTCGAGCATTCCTATGACACCGTATGTATTTCTCTCATCCACCCAACACAATCCCGAAAAGAAATAGAAAGAAGAAAAGAGGAACTAATGGCTCAATCCGACCAGTCGCTCAGTAACAGGCGTCGACTTCGCGCGCCAACTAGCCGAATACCGACGCGACGGACAACCACCCACGAAACGATTCCGGTCGTCTGCTGCGCCGAAGGGAACGAAGTTACCAGCGGGGTACCAGGATCGGGCGGCGCGGTTACGGGAAACGGGGGAAGAGGCAGCGGATGGGGATGATATTGAGAAGAGGATTAAGGCATTGGAGGAGATGGTGAAGTTGGGACAGATTGACCGGGAGACGTTTGAGAAGTTGCGGGTGGAGTTGGGGGTGGGTGGGGATTTGAACAGTACGCATATGGTGAAAGGGTTGGATTGGGAGTTGTTGCGGAGGGTGAGGGCTGGGGAGGATGTGGAGAAGAAAGAGGAGAAGGAGGAGGCTGTGGAGGAGACGGTAGGGGATGTGGATGAAGAGTTGGAGAAGTTGGAGGAGAGGGCGGGGGGAGAGTTGCCTTCTGCGCCGAGGGAGAAGGAGAAGAAGAAGGGGAGTATGGCGCCGCCGCCGGGGAAGAAGTCGAGGGATGAGATCTTGAAGCAGTTGAGGGCTAGTCGGGCTGCGGCTGCTGCTGCTGAGGAGCAGGCGGCTGAGCCGGCGTTAGGGTCGAAGTTCAAAAGAATTGGGGACTCGAAGGTGGAGAAGAAGAGGTGGGTTGAGCAGGATGAGAATGGACGGCGGAAGGAGATTCTGCAGATTACGGACGCGGAGGGTAAGACGAAGAGGAAGGTGAGGTGGTTGGATAAGCCGGGAGAGACAAATGCTGGGGGTCTCTTGGTTCCGGATAAGGATGCGAAGCCGCTGGGCATGGAGGTGCCGGTGGAGGTTGCGGCTAAGGCGGCAGCTCCATCGGAGGACGAGGATGATGATATTTTTGCTGGGGTGGGTGCCGATTATAACCCTCTTGGTGATATCGGGAGTGATGAGTCGTCGGACGAGGACGAGGACGAGGATGGTGAGGTTGCTGAGAAGCCAGCCCGCACCACTGAGACAGCGCCGAAGGAGACGCCGAAGCCTTCGGGTGAAGCTCCAGCTAAACCGCGCAACTACTTCTCGACTTCTACGACGGAGACTACTGAAGAAGATCGTTCGAACCCTCTGACCAAAGATCCCACCCTACTCGCTGCTCTCAAACGGGCTGCTGCCTTGCGACGAGCCGAGCCTTCCACAGAGGGAGAGGCTGGCGAGGGAGAAGAAGACGCCGACTCGGAGACGCTACTTCGGAGGAAGAAATTCCTTGAAGAAGCCCGCCGTCGCGAGCAGCTGGATGCCATGGATATGGATCTTGGATTCGGAAGTAGTCGCGTTGAAGACGATGAAGACGAAGAGGTGATACTGGAGGAGCGGAGGGGCAAGAAGAGAAAGCGTGGACCCAAGAAGAAGAAGGGAGATAAAGACAGTGTATCCGATGTGATGCGTGTGCTTGAGGGAAGGAAGAAAGATTGAGAGTGCGATGTTGTATTCTATGCATTTTATGAGTTGTGATACCACTGTTTTCTATGCATATATGTTCCACTTTTCCTTCTTCCCTTCTTACTATGTGTCCTTCCTAGTTCTAGAACGTAATAATATTCGTAGTGTTCTATCCCGCTTGCTGGACTATAGTTGCCAACTGGTAACCAGCCAGAGTAGGAGCTATAATCTCTTTCTCTGTACAGAGAATCCCTCTCCACACTCTAATCAACATCTTCACTCTCTAATATCATGAGTGTCAGTATCCCAGCCTATCAAAAGCTCCCCTCCACCCGATATTCACAATATACCAGAATAGTCAGATATAACAAACTGATTAAACGAATCCCTGCGCCCACCTCTATAGCTGAGAGAAATCCCCGTCCTAACAGATCTAAGCACTGAGATCTATCCATTACAAGTCAACAGGACTGGAGGATCACAGCGAGTATATTCTATGGCTATTCACATTGCACATGCATAACCACTGCATAAATTGAGTTATTCCTCACCAATAATGGAAAGAATCATTATTGTTTTATTGCTATATACTACTGTGTCTAGGACATAGAACCACAGGGTGTGGCGAACAGCTCAGCCAGCCACCTTCCATCAAGATGGAATCCTAATTTATCTAAATATGCAAATCAATGTATCTGATGGGTAAGCAGCTCATTGCAGAGCTCCCTATTCAACTGTCTCTCAATATCGCTCCCTGGTTGTTTACAGCGTATTCTTGATATACTCCACTTCCACGCCGACGCAAGCTATTTATCTTATATCACTGATCCACTAACATTACCCGCAGTTTTGGATAAATGGAGTACTTATTCATACTGAATCTCAAATCAACCTCCTTGGGTATAGATGATCGCAACCTAGGTTCCTTTTTCGTTAATACCTACGCAGAGTGATTCAGATACCGGAGTCTGTACCTGTCAATCTAACTGTCCGTGTTATAGCTCTTCCGAGAATTCTTGATCCGGGGTAAGACTATATATAACCTCCTATAATCCACTATACCTTCCAGACCGGTAGTACTTGATAAATATCCAACTGCGGGATATATCATAATCATATCATATTGCACCCCACTAACAAATCCCAGATAGAACAGTCAGTGCGCCGTCCTCAGTGAGTGACAAAGGGCAGACAAGTGCAGAAGGGAACAGCTACTTGCTGCTTTACTCAAGCGACTCTATGTAATCGAAATGGTGGGAGAAGAAATGATTGAATATGGTATATCTTGTGGAAAGTCCTGTGTTGAGTTCGATCTACAGATATTTTCTATGCACTGGGGATTACTATTTTATCGAATAGTTTCATAGGATTAGCCTATCGGAGAGAAAATAAGAGGAGATATCCGAACAAGTCTCAATACAGAGAGCAACCGAGGAGTGCAAGGAGCCCACCGTGTGGACTGCCTCGCCGATATACGGATGATATGATCGCCACTACATCGATGCTCGGCTATATTCCGCCCAGCGAGAGACGTTGATAGTCACAGGCGGTGGCTGCGATGAAACAACCCTCCCCCTGGCCAAATTACATTAGCGCGAAGTCTTTGGAGAAACGGTGTTCGTGGCGTGTATCCGGTGCGGCGTCAACCATAATTGGCCAGATGTAGGGAAGCCCTCGTGTACCTGGCAGGAGAGCGATCAGGTTCACATCCCAAGTATCGCAGCCTGAGGGCCGAGAGCTTACTCAGCCCTACGTAAGGGGACATTTCCCCTTAGATGTGTTGCAATACCAAAATTCCGCTGATACTGCCCTACCCGATGATTTTGACATGCATGAGAACTCTGTCAGTGATTGAAATGCCGACCTGGAAAACCGTCCGTGACAGATAATTAATTTCCGCACGAACGGAACAATGTCAATGGGTTGACGTGGGCAGGCCCCGAGTCCGTCCACGCAAGGATGTATGACGAAACGGTCCCTCACCGAACGAATGAGTAAGAGACGCCTCGGGGAACATTCCTCGTCTGCTTCTCAACTCACTGGCTCAATAGGAAAAGACTGTTTGACAAGAAATCTCTGAAGGGTCTCGCCACAGGCCAGAGCATGTGCGTCTCCATATGTGGATTCACTGACGAGCGCCATCGTGGGTTATGATGGTTGTCATTGGCATAGATTGACTTTGGGCGGCCATTGAGACGTGGGCCCCGAGAATCCAACCAGGAAAGACCGACGTCCAAGGCCACCAAATTGATAGGCGGGGCCCAGGTTATGGTTGACAGCCGCTAAAAAGGAAGACCCTCAGAGGGGGGAGGGTTGTTTGTTCCATGGCACCCGAGGAAAAGAAAGAACAAGAAGTTCCGACGATGAAACTTGACAGCAGAAGGAACAGAGGTAACATCATCGGTGCCTAAACATAGGGGCTATATAGACCGTTTTTGGCTTCCATCCGTCCACGAGGCCAAAAATAGGTCAGGCAACACGATCAATCTATTGAGATGGCTTGGGGCTTGGGCCAGGCACACGTCACTTGTGACGAGGGAGTTCGTTCGCCTTTGTTTCAGATGTGGTGGCCGACGGGCGCTAGAAAACGGTGATTGGATTTTAAGTCCCGTTAGTTTTGACCCCGGCTGATGCTTAACTCGTTCCCGGTGGCCGATCTGGTCAGTCGCTGGCTGGATTTAATGGCAGCAGCACCGGTCAATCTCTCTTCTTTCCTCGGTGAACAGCCATGGGGAAATACCCATGCATGAATCATTCCCTTTGTATGCTGCATGAAATCTCAATAGTTCGACAGATCTATTTGCCGAGAATCTGATGTGTAAACAATACGAAGGACCGGAAAAGTCGTCATGAAGATTACCCGATGGACAAGGTCTGGACTGCCAATGGATCCTTGGTGGAGTGGACTTGGCCTTGACTAGTGTAGCGCCTCTTTAGTCTCATGCATGGTCCATGTATATCTTAGTACAATCACTTCCTCTCCCACACCGACAAATGTGTATGTGTGTTGGTACCTGCATGTCGGATCTGGTTGTGGTGCTTTTGGACTGGCTGTCGACTTTCCGACTCTCCGACGGATATTCCCGATCAAGAAGCCGAAGAGAGAAAAAGGAAGATGGAAGATGAAAGGTATTATTTTCCCCGAGTAGATGGACCGATGTGACCCGTATCATGACAGCGACAAAAACAAACCCCTGGTACTACTGATTAATGCATAAATGTGGTGTCCGGCGGTCTGCCCTAAGACTCTCATTCGGTGCCACTGGCGATGCATCCGTGGTTCCGAGAGGAGCTGCCACTCAGGCACAGGAACAGAAGAATAAATAATTATCATGCCAATAATTCTCCATGAGAAAATAGTCCCCATTTTTAACCCAGCTAGGCACAAAAGAGTATAGTTCCAAAATCAAAACAAAATGTCGAGGATACTTTTTCCACTCGACAACAAAACTAGGGCATGAGGGGAGAGGAGGGATGCCCTATATAACCCTTTTTACTTCCTCCCCCCTCACCTCCTGCTTTTCTTTTCCCTTCTCCCCTTCTTCCTCTGCACCTCAATTCTCTCTTTCTCTCTCCCACACTCATTATCTGGTATTGTCCTGTGCCGTGCACGGTCAATCAGTCATTCCTTTCAGAAGTACCGCTTGACTACAATCAAGCGCCACTGTCTTTTCTTTATCCGACCATCTTTATCTAGAGAACCGGTCTTCTCTCTTTTTTGCACCCGCATTACAAGGCTTGAGGAACTACAGAGAAGAAGAAGAAAAAAAAAGTCTCATCACAATGGTCTCCTTCACAAAGCTCATCACCGCTGGCCTCCTCGCCTCCACCGCTGTGGCCGCCCCCCACGCCCACAAGCACTCCCATGTACACGTCACGAAGCGCTCCTCCAGCAAGCGTGGTGCTGCCTACAACGAAGCCTCGGCCGTCGAGACCCTCGGCAGCAACGGCGCCATCTCCTGGGCCTACGACTGGAATATGATAGCCATGGGCACCCTGCCCTCGGGTGTCGAGTTCGTCCCCATGCTCTGGGGCCGTAAGATGTTCGGCGACTGGTTCACCACCATCCAAACCGTGCTCGGCAGCGGCTGCAACTACATCATGGGCTTCAACGAGCCCGATGCAAGCTCTCAAGCCGCCATGACCCCCTCCGAAGCTGCCGAGTCCTACTCCACCTACATCACACCCTACAGTGGCAAGGCCAAGCTGGTCACGCCCGCCGTGACCAACGGTGGCGGCGACAACATGGGTCTCGGCTGGATGCGCCAGTTCCTCGACGCCTGTAACGACTGCGGCATGAGCGTGCTTGCCGTGCACTGGTACGGTGCCTCAGCCGATGAATTCAAGACCTTCGTTCAGGAGGCCCAGGAGCTTGCGTCCCAGTACAACCTCGAGGAAACCTGGGTGACAGAGTTCGCACTCAACAGTGCCATGACCGCCGGCTCGGGTACTCAGGAATCCACCGACTTCTTGAACGAGGTGGTCCCCTGGCTCGACTCGCAGAGCGGCATCGGTCGCTATGCCTACTACATGTGTGCCGATGGCTTCTTGCTAGAGGGCAGCGACCTGAGCGCCAGTGGAAAGGCCTACACCTACCAATCCTGATGGACAGATTTCTCTTCGGTAAATATTCACAAATAAGAAAAAAAAAAAAAAAAAAACCATAAAAAAAATTATGGGTTAGAAAATTAGGCAAGGAAAGGGATCGGTGTTACATTTTTTGGGCCTGGGATGGAAAGGGTATATTCAGTTGGTTTAACTTGGGTCAGTTATCTTTTATTCCATGGAATCCCGGTGTAAATACGGAGTAGGAGTTCAAAGTTCCAATTCCTCAATTCGGGAATGAAGTGGATCAAATGAAAAGAAACTACTATTCACAAACAACACATTTCAATAAATTCTAGACCTTTGTGTCTCAGACTGTAGTCACTAGTTCCAGTTCACTGAAGCCCTAAGTAAAACCAGCATCAAATCACCCCGGATACCAAAAGAATTAAATCGAAAAAAGTAATGAAAATCCAAAGCCACAATGCCAATCCCAATTTCCAAATCTAAAGAAATGTAATTAATAATTTACATCTCGAAAAAAAAACAACCCTCATGTGCTCTCGACTCCCCACTTTGAACCATGGTTTTTTATCCGAGATGCAAGCGTATTGGTCCACGCACACAAATGAAACCAGGGAATTGTT